TTTCATTGATTTTTTTAATCTCGTCGTTTAATTTTCAGAAATCCTCAAATATCATGGTTATCGTTTCCATTTTGTAGTACTTTTTAGTAAAAAAGAGAATTTGTAAATTGGACATTATCGATTAGATAATTGATAGTTTCGCAAAATCGATTAAATTGTGTTCACTTTCTTTTCATGAGCAAACATTTATTACGTGAATTACGTTAATTAATTTTTTTACAGACACATGTCTTAATCGTAAATAGGACAAATAATTTTGTGTATTCTCCATAAAGAGTGCGTCGAAATTAGCGACGATTACAATGCTGAAATAATATGTGCGTGGCAAATTGACGCGACCTTTCTGGCTGCATTGTAAAGTGCGAATTCACCTCGAATCCAATACGTTTTATGCGATATTTAAATAACTTGTTTTGACTGTGAATAACACGGTTTCATGACTTGTTAATAATAAATATCATTAATTTTGTTAGAGCAGAGATCAGTAGGCAACTTTTACGTAAAAGGTATTATGATAAATAGAAAAATATTGTACATAAATTCTTGTATAAGAAGAAATGTAATAATTTAATTAAAAAAATTTCACGTACCGAAATTAGCAAAACTTTACAATAAAAACTTTATATAAAAGCCATGCAAAAGTTTTAAAGAATTAATATAAATAATTATAATGAACAGGATATCTATTGTATGTAAGCAAAATTTTTAACACATTCTGATATATATATATATACTTTTATCTTTAATGAAATTTCTAAGAGTTTTATTTATTTTATTTTTACTCTTAAATTTTTTTAATTACAAATGATTTTGTTAAAAAATATATACAAATACATATAGTCAACATTCAATCATTCTTTTTTAATATAATATTATTTTATTTGAAAAATTATTATATTAAATTTAAATATCACTGCATGATAGAAAAGTGACAACTCAAAATTAAAAACTTTTCAGTAGAGCATTTCTAAAATTCTTTGTGGAGTAATGTTTTATTAGTATACTAAATATGCAAAACTTTACTTTTCTTTCCAAGTTATATTTTTAATATATTTTAAATTATTTTTAACGTATAATTACAATGTATATTTATATGTATTTTTTAATATGTATTTTTTAAAATTATGTTAGATGTTTTCAAAATTTGAACATTGCAATCCTACAGGATTATGTCAATTTTATTCCTCAATATATAAGCAATGTATTGCTAATGTATTGTTTTTTCACAATATGTTAATCTGAAGGAAAGGGGGTTGATTTCTTTCCATTATTTAAAAAATACTAATTTTTTTATTTGTGTCACTTTTTTATTAACGCAGCAATATATCTGTAATATATCTAATATCAAGATAAAAATTCATTTCTGACATTTCTAGATATCAGTAGATATCCTGGCTATCAAGAACGCGCGTTCGCAACGCGGTTCGCAACCGTGAATTAAATTACTCAGGGGAGCGACTCTATCTAATCCTGTGCTCTATTGCAGACCTAGGGAGTCCGTTCTTCCCCGGTGGTCCTGAATTGTGGCATCATCCATTGGCGTACTCTACAGCTGGCGAATTACCGGGCACGCTGCAACATGCGACGCTGGTGCATCCAGCGTTACATCCTCAGGTCCCCGTACGTTCCTATCTTTGACTATCTGCAGACAAAGCTCTGGAGCCGCCGACGAGCGCCCCGATGCACGTTAGTGATACATGATCGTTATACTCGATTACTCTTACATGGTAACAGGGAGATTCATGAGGGCTCAAGGACTGAAGATGCTTTCAATCATGGTTGCCTTGAGTCCTCGACTCCTAAATTCTATAGAATCTTGGATATTGAATTTTTTTATAACGTTTTAGTCTTTCGGTTGTTTTTTAGATGCTCTAAAGCTCCAATTTCTGCATTTTTAAATCTCGCATAAATTTTTAAATCCCTAGATTTCTGGAAAAAAGTATCTATTATTTTATGCGAATTACATATACATATAGAGTGCTTCATTATTATCGCATCATGAACAATTAGTCAATAATTGGTTTGTAAATTTAGAATTTTTCATTTTTAATTTTTGTAATAAGTTTTTTAATAATAAATAAGGAGTTTCTACAAGATCATTTTAATAAACGAGCTCTGATGTAAATAGTAAACTTTATTATTATTTTATTATGATTTCACGGAACATTTTGACTATATTAAGTCCTCATCAACTGTGTTTATATAAATGAAATAAAAAATCCCGAAACAATAATTTATATAGACATATTAACACTTAGAAACTATTATATATAATACGTCTATATAAATTATTGTTTCGAAAGTTTTTATTTCATTTATAAACACGATTGATGAGGACTTAGTCGAAAAGTTCCATGAAATTATAATAAAAAAATAATAAAGTTTACTGTTTACACCTTTCAGAGCTCGTTTATTGAAATGACTTCGTAGAAGCTCTTTATTTATTGTTGAAATTTATATGAGCGAATTATTTAATATATTTTCCATTGTAATTATCAGTTTTTTCAATTATATAATTTCAATTATATAATCAAAATAAAAATAAATAACGATTATAAGATTTTATTTTTTATTTTTTATATGTTTAAAGTTTTATTTTTTAAATGTTATTTATTCTCGGGAAAAAAATTTTGTAATTATATATAATAATATATGATTATATATGATTATATATGTCTATATACAAATATATTTTGCTTTATATTATATATAGAAAATTGCTGCTAAAAAATTAAGAAATTTATTAATTAGTATCACTTTTTACAAAAAGAGAGATGAGATTATATAGAATAAAATTATAATAAAAAAAAATATATTTGAAAAGTATATATACAATTTCAAGATCCTTCTAATCAGTTACCCACCCTAAACTGTACTCTGACTAAAGTTGCTTAACTTTTGTGATCTTATGGGAACTGATGCTTCGATAATTCATGAACACTGAATGTTAATACATATATATATGTGTTAATCAGTTTAATATTCGGGAAACAATTTTATACATGATCATATATAAAAATTTTTGCTCGGGTTATTAATAGTCTGTAATTTAAAATATTTGTTGAGAAAAGGTCGGGGGTCATAATTGAAGTCAGAAAGTTTATTAAAATTTGATGCAATAATGATAACCTAGTATAGTATAAACATCATAAAACCAGAATTAATAGGATAACCAATGAATATTATGCGGATTACTATATAAATAGCAATTTTTCCGTACGCGTGTAACGTCAGTCAGTGTATTCGAATATTACTTTTTATATCGTCACAAAATCGATAGTGTAACTTGTCATCGCACTGCGTGTCCTCATGTATTATATAGGAACATGTAGTGTATGTCACGCAAGGTTCGAATCGCAGAGTTTCGAAGCTATTATGATGTCTCCGTAGTTTGTCGCGACATGGATTAATTATGGCCAACGTTAATAAATCCATAGTTTACTTTTTTCTAATAGCATTGTATGTATTTTCCGTCATTTTAATTTTATGGGAAGAGTATTTAAAACTTATGGATGTTATACGTTGCGTTAATGATATTTACAGTTCGGGGTTATTTCATGGTTATTAATGAAGATAGATGAAGAATATAAAGTGAAACCATAAATAACACCGATAAGCCACATGTTAGGTAATTAGCAGCATCTAATGTAAGGGTATATGAAAAGTTAAATGAAGAGATATGAGAAGAGAGGTATAGAAATGAGGGTACATCTTCCATATCAGTCTTTTATTCTTAGAATTTTATCTTTTCCTTAAATTTATATTAGAATCTATAAAATTGAAAAGAGGAATCTTTCTTTTATTTTATGATTTTTGATATTATCAAAAATTCATATTTATTAATAAATACTAAAAGAAGAGACTAACATCCAAGAAAAGTTTGAAGTTTAAAGAATCGGAAAATTGTTCAGCGTAAGTACATCTTCCCCTTTAAAATATCGTCGATATCGGTCTGATGGTACCAATTCAAATCACATAACTTTATTAATTTTTAATGTATGAATCTATGTCAGATTTATACAGGTATCTGTCACGCATTAACGTCCGTAAAACACACATCGATTTCTACGAGAACAAATAATGCGATCATATAGTCATGAATGTGTTCAAACGCGATATAATCTGTTATTTTTATCGATCACATTACGTATGATATTATATGATATTTTTTATACTGTAATAGCGACTAAAATTATTCTGTAACACGCCACAGCGAATCACGGATTAATCGAGATGCGGGGAAAAAGAATCGTGATCAATGTTTTTATAAATGTATCTCGATATTTTGATTGAAAATGGTAAATTGAAAATTTTAAAATTTTTGGAGAGATAAACATGCTTTTAAATGCTGATTGATTCAAGAACTTTTGGATTTTATATAGGTAAATCACTTTAAAAAAAATTATACTTAAGTTTGTTGATCGGATATCATTCTTTTACATTTTAGATTATAGGTAAATATTTTTATATAATTGAATTCATCGAAAAATACATTTTATTACTGGATTATACTCTTGACTTATCGTTTCAATAAAACTTTTTAAATCTATAAATCATTTTTGCTTCAATCTTAAAGTTTCTAATATTTAAGATTCAATAAGTTTATGATTCTTTCTTGTTGTTTAATACAAAATCTATTACAAAAAGAAACTTCTATACTTGTTTGTAAAACATAAATTAAATTTTTATAAATAATTTTACACAAGAAAAGTCAGTAATAGTCATACGTGAAATTTTTATTTTACAACAGACTATCGATTCAGTAAAAATTTAAAACGATTATATTGAGAAAGCTTTTAGAAGTGATTGAAAGTTTATAAGCTAATTTTTTTAAAGCTCACACAAAATTTCAAACATAAAATATCGTTATTACTAAAATCCGATATTCCTTGAATTTATCCGCACGAGAGAGAAAATCCGTTGCATTGAACGTTTGATAAATCGAAAGCTCTTGAGTCCAGACTGCTATTATTATTTCCTTTTTCTCCGTACGCATCTTGCTTTTCCTTTAACGGAAGTAAAAAGGAAGCGAATCTCGAGATATCCACTCAAGGAATAACGAACCGAGAACCTGGTAGCAATAACGTCGGAACTTATTAAGTTGAATATCTTCTACGATCCAACTCGATTAAATGCATTCTCGAGCGACTTGACGATACTGAGAATGTCGTTTGCGAGATTTATCATTGCTTTGATAAGTTAATAACGATACTCAATGCAAATGATTTAAAATCATTTCTTTCATGTTGATGATATCTTTTACAATATTTTTATGCACAGTTAAATAAGAAATCTGCTGCGTTTCCTTGCGTTATATAATTTACTTTAATGTAAAGAAAGATTAGCTACTTATATCAATTATTATTTTTAATTTCTCAATAAAAAGTAGATATTGTTGGTAGATGACTATGAAATAACCTTGTCATTAAGCATGATATTTAAAAGAAGATATTTAAAAAAATATTAATTTTAGTCGTTTTTATCTGTTATTAAAAGTAATAGTCGACTATTTTTCATAGCGCTTTGCAACATACAATTTAAAGTTATTATTACAAAAAAAAAGTTATTGCATAATGTCACCATTAACATAAATATAATATTACAGCAAGAAAGATGTCCAGAAAATATACAGAATGTTTCAATACTGGTAGTACAAATGAAGAAAATGATTTTACTTAAACATAATGTCGAAAATGTAAAATAAAATTTTTTTATACGAGGCCTCATTTTTCAAAAAAATTTTCAATATTCGTCAGGCATTAATACGCATTTGTAATTATAAATATTATAAATAATAAAAAGCGACTTCAGGAATATATGATAATGTTTATTTTTCAAAAATGTTCTTTTATCGTCTTGAAAAGTATTAAAAGTTCTGGAATACCTTATATTTAAATTCTAACTTTAAAACACATTCAATTTAAATTTCTCTTAGATTTTAGTTCTTTTGTGATGCTTATTTGTTTCAATATTTTCGCAAACGATATATTTTTTGGTCGATGTTTTCTTTGCCAGAATATTGTTCGAATCTATACATTCGTCTACTAAAGTCTAAAGATCGGAATGACCTTTAGACTTTAGTTTTTGTCAGAAAAGATACAATTTTTTATTGTAGGGACAAAAGTAGGGTTGAAAAAGACGGGGCGGATTGACGCAAATGCGTCGATCTGTGCGAGCAGACCGACTACTCATGGTCAAGCGCAGCAAGTATATGACAGATGTATTTATATTTTCTAGGCGCCTATGTCTCTGCCGCATCCTACGACGTTGACGTCGATACACGCGTCGCTGCCTCATTTTCTACCGTCGCCGGCACTGGCGTCACCGGTCGGATCACCCTCGTCACAGCCGAACATAGCCGTCAGCAATGCGCAGTGCTCCACCCTCTTTGTGGCGAACCTGGGCCAGTTCGTATCTGAACATGAGCTAAAGGACATCTTCAGCAGGTCAGACATCTTAACTGTTTACCTTATTCTTTTAATTCATAGCCGGATGCGAGCCGATCGAATATGCTCATTAGTCGGTTGGCTCGCCTATTGATTTATTATATTTATATATTTTATGACCTACACCATGTGTGTGATTATCCTAAGGACACAGTTTTTAGACTGCATCAAGTTGTGTACATTATCGCTGTATAGTAAAGGTGTAGGCGTCGTTAGATAAATTTGTAGAAATAGTATGTATATCAGTTAAAGTTTTTTTAACTTTAGAATAATATTTTTTCGTTTCTCTGAATTTTAATGAAAAGTCTTAATAAAAACAGATAGTTATGAATTAAATGTTCTTATTATTTTCTACGTATTTATTTATATATTAAAATTTTTAGCGGGATCTCAATTTGATGCAATATTGATGCTTAAAACATTTAAAGACTACGTTTATCATAAAAAGGGTATATAGATAATTAATTTTATTTTAATGCAAAGTGTCAGAAAATATATTAATTATAATAATAACAATGATAATAGATTACTTAAAAGAACTAAGTCATGTTTATATGACATGCTGACGGTAAATGCGCGCCAATTGTGATACGGGTACCGATACACATGGGTCTTATTAGCATACCACGTGGTGATGATATCACGATGTCGTGGTGTGTTCGAAACGTTTGCAATTCTTAACGAACGAACAGCAAGAATACAACGGTTTTAAAAATATTTTTGATATTTACGAATAAAACACAAATTTTGGAACCATTGAATTTTTTTAGCCTTGATTTTTAAATAAAATTTTCTGGACAATTTTTTGGATAAAAAATTTTTAGATTCTAAAATATTTTTTATTTTAGATTACTTTATTTAGTGAAGACTTTTAATGGAAATATTCGAAAATCATTGAATCTGTATTGAATGTCTAACAATTGAATTTGTATATATATATATGTTTAAATAAAAAAATTCTGTAATTATCATATATATAAATTCAGCAATTTTTGAATTAAAACCAAACTCACATGAATAAATTCCAGATTAGATTAAAGACCGGAAATTTTGCATTTATTATAGAAACTTGTTATGCTCTTAGTGATTTACGTTGTTACAGTTGTATAACTTTAGCAAGGATATATGCGTTCAAGGATTTCTTGCATTAGACAAAAACGCAATTAAAAAGTATACATTGCAAGCATATATGAATAGCGCGCAAGCATACATGAATATAATATATGCGATTCTTACCTCATTCCTGACGCTTGCAAAATTTGCGGACTAGCACAGTTACTATTAATTATCATATTATCATACTTTATGCGATTTCCAATTGGTATATATAATGGGCGAAACTTTTAGGTCATTAAAAAAATATAAAAACGTAAAATTGTAATTAAACATGATAACCCGCTAATTACGGACGGAGATATTCACAATTAAACTGCTCGCTTAAGTGTCAGCTATCCAACAAGCGGCGAAGTTAAAATATGTTATCCGGCCGGGCATTACAGTTGCGCTCGTGTAATAAATTATTTTCACGTGCCCTACCATGCGGAACCTTCCCACGATCCTGAGTACGCCTCCAGTACGTCGTGAATCATTGAATTGAGAATTACAAACTCTTTCGATATGTCTACATTAAATCGGTTAGACCGCAGCTAATATCCGTTGTATATATACTTTTACGTAGAAATGAGAAAAACTGAAGATCCGGTAGAATCGTTCATTTACCTTTGATTAATGCTGCGAACCTCGATCACGTGTTTGTAGTCGCGGGATTACAATAATTATTATCTACATACGAAGAAAAAGTTACATGAATTGATTTTTGTATGCTGCACCGCAAAATAATAATAACGAAACTACTATAATACTTGTTAGATACTTTTTATTTAATAGAATATTGACAGTAGTTGGGGGGTTTGATATTTTTGATACCGATTACTATGGTTATTAAAAAAATAACAGATAGAAAAAGAAAAAAGAGTTTAATAGTTAAATTATAAAAATTATGAATTAATAAAATATATGATATGACGTACTTCATTTTTATGCAGTTCACTGCAAAATTAAAAACGCAGAAATTAGGATCTAAATTTTTATATTAATATAAAATAAAAAATATTTACGAATTTATTATAATGTAAAAAATATATAATTGTAAAAAAAAGAAATAATATAATAGCTAATTATTTTTATAAAGTCAAGTATATATAATTTATCTTAGGCACAAGTAATTATTAAATCGAAAGAAAAATAAAAATTTAAAAATATAACTTTTTTTATAATTATTGGATAGAAAGAGTTTAAATATAAAAGAGTTTAAGTAGAAACTAAAATATATTTTATTCAGTTTAAGATAATTTAATAGCAGGAGAGTAAAAGTTTTTATTTTTGTGCAAATTTTGTTATAACGCTCGAAAAACTCTATTCTTCGAACAACAAAGATAATTTTGCACAGGATTTAATCGTTTACACTTTTATATTTTTAGTGAGAGCTTTGTGATACACAGCAGAAAAAGTGAAAAATCATACATTGACAGAAGTGTTTTGAACATATTAATTATTCTATCAAATATGTCAATTGCATTTCGTTTCTTGTAATGAAAAGTAGAGTGTATAAAATAAATTTATCATATTGTTATTATCATTTATGAGACACTATCACAATTTATATTATTTAAATTTTTTTCCTGTATATCTTTGAAATTGTATTTTTTGTTACATTATTTATTCTTGTTACACCAAACGTTATTAGTTATAAAGTAATTGATTTATCGATACTCGAGATGCAAAATTTTTTAACAAAATATTAAGAATCGCTAATAACAACGTTAATCCTCAGCACACAGGATACGAATAACGATCTAGAAGACGCGATTTACTCTTTTGAGTTTCGCAGCTGACGGAAGTCTGCGCGCGACTGTCTCGCAAGTTCTAACGCCAATAGAGAAGCTCTTCCTCCCCTCGTATAATTAGCCTGCGAAATCTCATTATCCCGCAAACCCCAGAGTTCTGCAGTATGAATTCGTAAGTGAGTGCCTGAGTTAATTACACGCATTTGCACGTGCGAGAGGCGCCCTGCGCATTCTACTATTTTCGGTAGCTTGCGGGAGTATTCGACCGAATTTCGTCGTCGACGATGAATACATTGTCCTCGTCGCATGTAATTCAACTGTTGTTCTTACATGGGTAATTATTTCACGTTGATACGCTTGAGAAAAAATATATTTGTCAAGACCAAAAAATTTTACAATCGTGCGAAAATATTTTTGATAATGGAACATGTATTATATTAGATCATTTAAAAATGATAGTTTAGAAATTAATATTTAGGAATTATAAATTTCTTACATTAAGTAAGAAGAAATATAAATTAAAGAAAGATTTGTAAACAATGCTTCAAAAATATGAGTTTTAAAAATATCAATTTTACATCATTCTTTAATGTTTTTTAATTGAAAAGAGAACATTTATAAATATACTCTATTAAAAATATTTTCATGCAATTTTGAAAATTAATAGCTTAGAAACTGGAAATCTTATATAAAAAATTTTATTCATCTAAAATTTAATTTTATTCTTTATATTAATTCTCTTTATATTTCTTTTTATATTAACAATTTTTTTCTATTTAAGATTTATTTAAGTTTTCTCTTTCTTTATGTATGTATTAGAAACCTCAATCTTAATTAATCGCTATATAATTACTGTGATACTTAATTA